TGTGTGTGTGTGTGTGTGTGTGTGTGTGTAAGTGAGAGAGAGCTGGAATTCTGCTTCACACTAAAATAGTAAAGAATTCATCTCAGTTAAAATTATTGCTCCTCCATAATTCTGAAGTGCAACTTCTACATAATGCCTCAAATACCCAGAAGTACGACTCTGTTAATGATTAGCTTTATCCACGGATGTAATTGCTTGGGCTCCGTGCTTGATACACTTGCTACACCCCATAAGGCCTTAAATTAGGGTCAATACAACCTGCTTGACTTGCGTCACAAATGAGGTAATGTAACATACTTTGTTATATAATCCTTTGATTACCATGGGCTAGATTTATACTCAAGTGTCAGTGTGTTTGAAGATAGAAGGCCTTGCGAAATCTAACATATGCCTTGCCCTCTGTCTTCCTGCAGAATGGTCTCACATCCTGCCCTGGTTTATCCCCCATTTTACAGGGTGCAGTAAGAGATATAAGGCAGCCCTTGGATTGGGTTTAATTACTCTTTCAGTGCCATTTAAAGCAGTATTTAAAACAGCACTTTTTCAGAAGAAGCATAATATTTTTCAGGCCCCCTTTTAGCCTTTTCAGGGAAGTTTTATCCAGTTTCTGCAGCTCAGATACTAATTATCAGATGTGAACTGAAAATGTTTAACACAGTTATCTAAAGTTTGTTTATAGTATTGAGCCTCTTCAAAAGTGCTTCTGATCGGAGAGGCTTTGATTTCTGTTGAGCAATTAGCTAGCTGAGTTGAATGCTCAGCCTCATCTATCATGATCTTTGCATTTTGAGTTTTATTGCATTGCCGGTTAAATCTTTCTCTTCGTATGTTACATGATAAAAATAAGCTGTAATGAGAGGGTTTCATTGCATGATCTGTACTGCTGGAATGGTTCATCTCCAGGTTGCTCATGGGCATCGTTTCTACTAACTGTGAATCATCTATTGTATTGTAGTCGACCCTCAGATGCTAATTATATAATCGTTAAACCCCATTCCTTTAGAATTCTCTCTCAGAACTTCCATTTTTCTTGACCCCACTGAGGATCTCTTCCTCCCACATGCTTCCTGTTCAACCTTTTGTCTTTTGTACCACGTTAAGACCTCAAAGGCATTGGGACAGAGAGTCCTTACAAATCCGTCAATCCTCTGGCCTCTGAATCTTTGAAAGTGCTTCTGGCAGATTCCCAGGCCTTGAGAAAGCAGCGCGTCAGCATAGTGTGGTGGTGGGAGCAGAATGAGAGGGGAGTTTGCTGCAACAATTGTTGGAGGCTTGGAACAGTGCATGGATTGGTTGGATTTTGTGCCACAGCATTGAAAATAGAGACATTTCCTCTTGACAGAGAGACCAGAGCTCAGGGACATGGGTTAAAAATAAGGGGTTACCCATTAAAGGCAGTGATGAGGAGATTTTAATTCCCTGAGGACTGAGAGCCTTTGTGACTCTCTTCTCCAGAGAACAGTGGAGGCAGGGTCATTTAATACATTTAGAGCAGAGGTAGGTAGATTCCTGACTAATAAAGGACTCATAGGAAATATAGAGTTTTGACCTCAATCCATCATTAGCCTTGAACCTAGACTAGTAATCCAGACTGATGTTCTGAGTTTGAATCCCACCAGGACAGATGTGAAATTTGAATTAAATAAAATGCCTGTAATGGAAAACAAGCTTGTGGCAACTATGCAATCACTATCAATTGTCGTTAAAAACCCATCTGCTTCATAAATGTCCTTTAAGGAAGGAAATCTGTCCTGATTGCCAGGTCTGGCCTACATGTGATTCCAGATACACAGCAATCGGTTTGACTCTTAACTGCCCTCTGAAATGGTCCTCACAAGCCACTTAATGGGCAATTAAGGATTGGCAATAAATGTCGGCCCCCCCCAGCGAGACCCACATCCCGTGAATGAATAGAACAGAAAGCTTATTGAATGGTGGAGCAAGCTTTCTCCTGCTCCTTATGTGTGTTTGTAAAATTATTGGCCAGTATTAGCAGCTTTAAGAATGTAAATCCCTCTCTGATACTGGCTACCAAAATGGCCATGTATCTCAAGCATCCAGCATTGAAATACAAAAGCTCAGAAGCACCTGGAATATTATTTCAACACTTTATCACCTGGATGTGACAGGTAGGGATACAATGGAATGTAACTCAATCCCAATTTCTTCTTCAGTTTTAGCCAAAAAATAGGAGTGAGAGCCACAGTCACCTACAGAAAGAATGTTGTTTATAAACCTTGGGGTAGTGGTGCAGCAATGTCGTACCAGAAAAGCAAGACTTGAGGGCTGAACCATAATCATCCCTGATTATTGTAATTCAGTAAATGAGGCAAGCTTCTGACACCATGCAGTTCCCTAATCAGGACCATGATAATATCTCACTCTTTGAGACTTACAGCTGTCTGGGAACAGAAATACAGCCAGGAGGCTGGAGATAGCGGACAAGCCCATTATGTTCTTTGGAGCTGGGAAGACCACTCCTGTTCCTTCTAACTCTGAAAATACCATGTCTCCGTATGCCAGAATTTCCCTGACCAGTTGAGGCAGGCTCCCTGTATTGCTTTTCGTCATTACTTTCAATTAATGGAAAATAACGAAGGAGCAAATGTTCTGAAATTCTCAACGTGTGCTCCAGTTCCGCAAGATCTGTGCTGACAACTTCCCCACAATGTTTATGGTAGCAAATTGGAGCCAAATGTCATCTCAGTTCCGACTCATTTCTTTTTAATAACAATACATTACAAAGGCTTCACTGAGACAAACCTTCATTTCTGTGTGCCTGGTCCAAATTTAAAACTGATTCTCGTAAATGCAATGACTGTGTCCCAACATACTTTATGAACCATTTTGACAGGCCAGAAGTAAAAAGAGTTGAAAACTGGACCTACCAAGTAGAAGCAACAGAGCTAATTCTTGAAAGAAAAGCAATTGCGACGCTCTGCCCCATTACTGGCAGAAATCCTTATTGGACATGAGCACAAGGCATAGAAATGGGGCTATTGGGGTACAGTGGCAGTGTCCCTACCTCTGAGCCAGGAGGCTTGGGATCAAGTCTGACCAGTCCCCCACATCTGAACAGATTGATTCAAAATACATAGAAATGGGACTACAATATGCTAGCGCTGTTTCCCGTTCATTTTAGACCTTGGAACACCTATGTTGAAATTATCACAAGCTCTCTGCTTTGATTACATTCAATATTTTTTAGGTATTTTTACACGCAGTAATCCGAAATGTTATGACATACAGGAGCAAGTGGGACTTGAACTGCGGCCTTCTAGCCCAGAGTTGCGGATGCCCAGTATTTTTTAAAAGATTGATAATCATTTCTTTCAATTAAGAATGGGTGTTTAATGCGTACAGTTATTCAGTTGGCAGAGGCAGTAGTCTTTAACTACTTTCTAATGTCAATCGCGCATGTTTGTATCATCTTCCAAAGCTACACAGCAGTGGGCTGTGATTATGATAATTAAACCTCCAGCGAGTTGTAAAAGTATAATGTCCGTTTTGTCAGTGTACATGTTTGATCTTAACGTTGTTTCTCACTTCAGTTGAAGAGCACAATGGCTTTGAGCCTCTCAAGTGCCAAGCATGACAATGAGCTGCTAAAGGAGCAAGTTGAGGAGGAGCAGGAGAGTAAATCTGAACTGCAGAGACTCATTTCCAAGTTAAACAGTGAGGTCACCCACTGGCGGACACGCTATGAGACTGATGCTATTCAGAGGACTGATGAGCTTGAAGAGTCCAAGTAAGTGTTGTGGTTTATTATCAGATACCCTAAAACGAGCTCAGCCTAAGAGGCAGATTTTGCAATCCTTTGTGGTATGGAGTAATAAAAGTTGTGCAATAAAGTTTAAATGTCGTTTAATTGTTAACATAAATCCTGAAGCGATACAGCAAGAAATATCAACATTTGAAGCTTAAGGTTTATAATCTGGTGCATACCATTTAGAAATTGGGTGATAACCATTCTCACCATTGGTTTAAGAATCTGAATAAGCACTACAATTTGAACGTTACAAATTCCTGCAGTTACGGTGTGGCAAAATGTTTTTTTTTGATCTGCAGTTCAGCCTTTGAGCTTTTTTGCTGCCTAACTGATATGTTAGCTAAAACTGGGGTGAAAGATTGTTCTAATGAAAGCTTTGATGAATTTGTAGAAGAGCTGTATATCTCTTTACGAGTACAAGAAAATGCTTGAGTTAACAACCCCTCAACGCAAAAGAATATTCATGACGTTTGATAATTTCTACACGGAAGCACTTCAGAGAGCTTAAAACTATGAATTAATGCCCCTTTAAGATTTAAATTCCTTATCCCAATGTCTAGGAAGGTTGAGAGAAAAGTGTATTTTTCACCAGAGAAGCCTTTGATTAAAATTTAAGATATTACAGTTGATAGTTTGAATATCTAAGTAAAGTTCAAGTGACATACAATGCCTAACATTAGAATGTTGCTTTCAGTTGAAGAGTTAGAGATCAAGACAGAAATATATGGCAAGGTACAAAGAAATAAATCTGGACAATTTTTTTATTATTAGATGTCAAGTATATATATTAAGTAATGCAAAGCATGGAACACGTTGAGTTAAATGTGACTTGATGACTCGAGTCTTATGTTTAAAAGTTGGCTGGAGTTAACAGGTTGTGCAAGGAAGCAGAATGCTTTTAAGAGCTTTCATTTGTCACAGCCATATTATATAGAAAGACGTGGTGAATGTTTAATTTGAAAAAAGCTGTGGGTGAGACTTAAATTTATCAATGCCTTTCATTCCAGTTCATCATTACAAAATAGTGAACATACCTTTTTAAAAAAAAGGGGAACTGCCATGCTCTTCAGCACAGCTTCAAATTGATCTTTTCACCTAATTTATCAATGCCTTTCATTCCAGTTCATCAACCTTGCTTGAGTTATGAACAGTTGGTGAAAACTCAAAGTGCAGGCATGATAATGGGAGATCAAGATTGAGGAGGTTAGCCTGAACTATTAATTGCTTGGGATTAGTGTGAGATTAACTGCTTCACGTAGTAGAGATCTGCATATATTAGTAGCTAATAACTATATCCTATGCTAAGCTTTGGACACTTTTTTTTAACCATTTGATTAAAATTAAAAGCAAAATCTTTAAAGAAAGTTCAAAGCTTCTTGTTTACTTATTTGGTGTTATCTCCTGAAACAAAATGGCCGTGTGTGTTCCATTTGTGGTTACTTCAGCCAAAGAAAGTCTATCCGTTTTACTGAAAGCATTCATTTGACGTCACAAGCTGAACAAAGTCTGAAAGAACGTACCTTGGAAAAATGTGTGGATGAAACAGATGGGAGAGAGTCTTGAACTTTTTGATGCATTTTAGTTCTTGTTGCAAAGAGGATATGGAATCAGAAATCCAGGATTGCAATCAGTCTAATCAGTCTCTATTGTCATTTCTGAGTGATTCACTAGAACTTACAGATAGGGAGATAGTGACCTAATGTCATTTCCTCCATCTTGGTATCAGGGTGGGTGATCCAGCTGCCCGAAAGATTTGTGATGCAAAGCCATGTTGACAGGCTACAAATGAGGCCTTCAAAACTAGAGAGAGCACACTGCCCTCCTGAAGATTGAGGGTGTTTCTTGCTGCAGTGAAGCAGAATTTTACCTGGGCAAAAGATGAGCTTACGTCTACAAAGCAAAGAACGACACTGCAAATCTTGGTGGTAAACTAAATAAGACTGGTGTTATTTGGGGTAAAGTGACCTGTGCCCATGTAAACAGTGGCAAGGTACATACAAGTTCAGCAGTAACCTGCCCACTAAAGCTAACGGGCCTAGGATCTGTCCGATGCTATACCCATCAAGGATCTAAAGCTCAGCTGTACATAAATTGACAATAAATAGTAAAATGATTATTTTAAAAAATCTAATGTCACTGGACTAATAATCCAGAGGTCCAGGTTAATGCTCTGGACACCCACCGATTTTAAAATCTTAACATAGCGGCTGGTGGAATTTAAATTGAATTGAATTGAAATGAAATGAAAGCTAGCAACTGTGAGACTATCACTGATCATTGTAAAAACAAACTGATTCATTAACTGGCCTATATGTGACTCCAAATCCGTAATAATGCGATTGACTCTTGCTCCCCTCCTGAAATAACCTGCAGGTCACATCGAAAGAATTAAAACAAAGACATCCACAATGCCCATAATCTTAAAAATAGTGATAATTTTTTTTAATAAAAGGAGGAACCGCTGTGCTTTTCAGCACAGCTTCAAATTGATCTTTTCATTTCCACATTCACTCCTCCTCCAACCCCATTGCCAACTTAAAGTTAAAAATCATGTCCCTAGATACATTCCTCCTCCACTTCTTTCAGGCTAACTGATGATCTAACATTGCACATAAAAATCTGAAGAAACAGAGGCTTGATGAAACCAAAGTAATAGCCACAAAGAAAATTAACCCAAAATTCAGATCTTTGTCCTGAGAACATTCCAGTCCAAAATTAGTGAATGGAATCCTTTCAGGTACATCTTCAAGAATGAATGCCAGATGCCCGGAAGCAGCAATTCCTTACAGACTGGAGTTTTAAGGGATGATCTTATTCAGGTGCGCACCCTGTCTCTGCCAAATCATGCAAAGGTCTTGCTCTCAGGATCTGAGAACCACAACAGTTAAACACTCTCCTCCCTTTCAGAGGAGTATTGAAATGGTAGGTCTTAACGAGCAGTTATTGGGATATTCCTAATGCTGTGCTCCGTGAGGTTACAGCCAGTGTGATTCCTAATCGGCGAGGGCTTTCTTCAACGTAATTGTGGCTCAGCTGATTATTCCACTCCACCATCTGCTCTCAGTCATGTCTTTCAGATTTATATTATGTACGTTGCAAATACATCTCTAGAGATCAAAGCAGCTGATTGTATGACTGTCAGCCATTGGAATCCAACATCTTGCAGATTGTTCTGGCTTTCGTGATCAAAGTAATACTCAGAAGGAAAGTTGGCTGCTTTCCACCATGTACTGGAGAAATACTCTCAAGAGATATTTTTGCACATGCATTGTACATCTATTTTTCTTCTTATTTCACAGTGCGTGCTGTGATAGTATTGGATGCATTGGTTGCAACTACATCCATCGCTTAAGGAACATCACGCGTTGAGTGTGAAATATGTATCCGTTAGATCGATTTTAGTTCCTCCCTTAATTTATGTGTAAGGTTAATATTTTCGTGTTGGATAAGATGAACAGCGTGAAACAGATTTTGCGCACAGTCTGGGGCTATAGTCAGTCTCATTAATTAGAAGGATAAGTTGCTTATGGTATCTGACACATGCAACCATAAAAGCAAAACTGTACTGGAAAAGGGGGTACAGAAGCAATAAGAAAGAAACATCTGCACTTAGAGAATCATAAAATACCTGTAGTGTTGGAAGCAAGCCATTCGGCCCATTGAGTCCAAACCAACCGTCCAAAGAGCATCCCACGCAGATACCCTGCCAACCCTCACACTATCCTTGTAACCCTGCATTTCCCATGGCTAACCCACCTAGCCTGCACATCTCTGGACACTATGGGTAATTTTGCATGGCCAGTCCACCTAACCTGCACATCTTTGGACTGTGGGAGGAAACTGGAGCACGTGGAGGAAACCCACACAGAAATTGGGGGCATGTGCAAACTTTGCACAGAGGGTCACCGGAGAGTGGAATCGGACGTGGGTCCCTGGTGCTGTGAGGCAGCAGTGCTAACCACTGAGCCTCCGTGCCACCCTAGAGCCTTTCACAACCTCCTGGTACTCCAATGTGCTTGATAGGCAAAGAGTGAGGTGCAGTGCCTATTGTAATGTAGCACCTACAGCAAGGTCTAATATGCACAAGGTCTAATATGATAATAATCATCTGTTTAAAGTGTGGTGCTTGAAGGCTAAATGTTGGCCAAGACTTTGGAAAATACTTCTCCACTCTTGTTTAAAGTTTTAGCACCTGTACTGGAATGTTTGCTTGAATTATGTCATCAAGTTACAGGATTGACCCGAGTTCATAACTTCCTCACAAAGGAGAAAGTGCCGCTGGGTTAAAATCCTGGAATTCCCTCCCTAAGGGCATTGTGGGTCAACCCACAGCACATGGACAGCAGTGGTTCAAGAAGGCAGCTCACCACCACCTTCTCGAGGGGCAACTAGGGATGGGGAATAATTGCTGGCCCAGCCAGCCTTGCCCACATCGCTTGAATGAATTTAAAAAGGTGCTACCATAGAACTAAGAATAACATACAAGCATAGTACCAATTCAGGCCAGGACAAACCTTTCCGATCAGTGACCATTCCTTTGATTTATCCATCAAGTTTCTCCAGAAGATTCTCCCCATAGTCTGTCTCCGTTACATTTTTACTGCAAGTTCACTGCCTTCTGAAAACAGCTAAATTGAAATGCGTTGTGCACCTTCAAGACTCTAAGCTTGAGCAAAAGCCTTCCCTCCACAATAAGGTCAGATGTAGAAATATTTGCTCATGACTGCACAATGGTCAGTATCAGTCCCAGCTCCTTATACTGAAGTAGTCCACGTCCAAATGCAGCAAGATCTGGACTATATCCAAGTTTGGCCTGACATCTGGCACACAACATTCTAACAACACAAATGCCAGTCAATAACCATTTCCAACAAGGGAGAATCTGACCATCACATTCAGTGGTATCACCATCACTGAATCCCCCGCGACCAACATTCTGGAGATTACCATTGACCAAATAATGAAAGGGACTAACACTG